TATTTAAGAAAAAATCCATAGCTACCCACTGCCCCTCTTCTGAAGGGACAGTCCCCCTATGGAACCTAGACCCCCTGTCTCGCTTTCCTGCAACCATCCAACCATCAGTCTTTAGAATGGTAAAATCAGCTTTCAGTTTTTGTAGATACTGGGTTTGACTTACTAAAGTTTGTGCATGTACACTTCTATGCAAAATTTATCAGCAGGTATAAAAACAAATACTGCAAAGTAAGAATGCTTTCAAAAATCTATACAGTATTTTAATTGTTTATTTTTATCAATTTACAAAATGCAAAATGAGCAAACAGAAGAAAAATCTAAATCAAATCAGTATTTGGTGTAACTATCCTTTGGCTTTAAACAGCATTATTTCAATTTATTAAGCTTTTTTTGTAGAAGCACAAAGCAATATTGAAGACTGTAGACACAGTGGTCGGCCAAGGAAACTTAATGCAGCAGATGAAAGACACATGATGCTTGCTGTCCTTCAACATTGGAAGATGTCCAGCAGTGCCATCAGCATAGAACTGGCAGAAACCAGTGGGAACCAGGTGCACCCAAAGCCATTCCTCTGACACAGAAACAAGGCTAAGTGACTCAACTATGCATAAAAACATAGGAACTGGGGTGTAGAAAAATGGCAGTAGGTGCTCTGGACTGAGCAGTCAAAATTTGAAATATTTGGCTATAGCAGGAGGCAATTTGTTCACCGAAGGGCTGGAGAGCGGTACAGAATAAAGGTCTGCAGGCAACAGTGAAGCATGGTAAGTTGCAAGTTTGTGGCTACATTTCTACAAATGGAAATGGAGATTTGGTCAGGATCAATGGTGTCCTCAATGCTGAGAAATACAGGCAAATCCTTTTCCATCATGCCATACCATCAGGGAGGCGTGTGATTGGCTACAAATGTATTGTGCATCAGGACAACGACCACAAAGATATAGCCAATGTCATTAAGAACTATCTTCAGTGTAAAGAAGAACAAGGAATCCTGAAAGTGATGGTTTGGCCCCCACAGATCCTTGATCTCAATATCATGGAGTCTATCTGGGATTACATGAAGAGACAGAAGGATTTGAGGCAGCCTACATCCACAGAAGGTCTATGCTTAGTTCTCTAAGATGTTTGGAACAACCTACCTGCCAAGTTCCTTCAAGTGTGCAAGTGTACCTAGAAGAATTAGACGCTTTTAAAAGCAAAGGGTCAGCACACCAAATATTGATTATATTTGGATTTCTCTTCTGTTCATATACTTTCTATTTTGTTAATTGATACAAAAAATAAAACATTAGCACTTCTATTTGACATCAATTAGGTTTGGAAAAATGCTTGAACGTATAGGCAGCACAGTGGCTAAATGGTTAGAAGACTTTCACCTGGCAGTACTAGGGGCGTTGGTTTGAATCTCAACCATGGCACCACCTGCCTGGAGTTTGCATGTTCTCCCTGTGCCAGCGTGGGTTTCCTCCGGGTACTCCAGTTTCCTCCGACACACCAAAGACATGCTGGGAGGTTAATTGGATCCTGTCTAAATTGGCCCTGGTATGTGTTTGTATGAATGTGAGTTAGGGATCTTATACTGTACACCCCTTGAGGGTTGGGAACTGATGTGAATGCACAATATATATGTAAAGCCCTGCATAAATTGATGGCGCTATATAAGTACCTGAAATAAATATTTCTCAAAGTATCCTTCATTTACATAATTTTTGCCAACTGAGTAAAATTTTGCACAGTACAGTTGGCCCATCAATGGACAGCCAAAAAATATCTGCATAATATTTATGAATGTGACGGTACACTCAAGTGAACACCTAAGGAAGGCAGCCCTGGAGCATGCACCATAAAAATAAGATATATAATCATTTATAATTATTGTTTTTATTATTATTATACAGGATTTATATAGTGTCAACAAAATGAAGGGAGCCAGTACAGATACAATCCAATCCAATACAGGAAAGGCTATGAGAGCTTACAATCTAAAGAATGCATATACTGTAAATTTACCTGTCTGGGAGCAAATCTTCTCTAGATATAAAACTGATGTCTTTGGTCATTTTTTCATATCTCTGAGACTGAGAAAATCAGGGCAATTGAATAACCGACCTCTCCAAGCTTGTTTTTGACATCTGCAGGAAGTAAAAATGGTGCCAACTGGATAATGATTGCTGGTACGCAGAACAGCATAACAATGACCCACTTTTATTCCAGCTGGACGTCACCTGAGAGTCTCTTGTGGAAGGACCGGCCTAGTGGGAAAAAAGAAATAGCGGCTGATCTTCCCAGGAGTTTAGGGAACCAATCCGATGCGGAGCGACATGAAAAGCACAGATGGTGACTAATTGAGCTGAAGCTGCTTTCATATGTATTCACTGCTCCAAAATGGAAGACTTATCTGTTTCATGTCATCTTCTGAGATATGTTTTATTTTGCGCTTGCCGTTAACTAGATCACAAGTCTCCTTAAAGTAAAACTGTATGCAACATGAAAGCAGAACTCAACAGCTAAATATACAGATACAAAACATGTGTGTATATATATATTATATATTATATATATATACAGTGGGGATCGAAGGTTTGGGCACCCCAGCTAAAAATTTGTATTAATGTGCATAAAGAAGCCAAGGAAAGATGGAAAAATCTCCAAAAGGCATCAAATTACAGATTAGACATTCTTATAATATGTCAACAAAAGTTAGATTTTATTTCCATCATTTACACTTTCAAAATAACAGAAAACAAAAAAATAGTGTCTGCAAAAGTTTGGGCACCCTGCAGAGTTAATATCTTGTACTGCCCCCTTGGCAAGTATCACAGCTTGTAAACGCTTTTTGTAGCCAGCCAGCGTGTCTGTCACGCTCTGCTCTTTTAAGGTCTATCCATAGATTTTCAATTATGTTGAGGTCAGGAGATTGTGAAGGCCATGGCAAAACCTTCAGTTTACACCTCTTGATGTAATCCCCCCGTGGATTTTGAGGTGTGTTTTAGGATCATTATCCATGTGTAGAAGCCATCCTCTCTTTAACTTCAGCTTTTTCACAGATGGCATCAAGTTACCATCCAAAATTTGCTGAAATTTTATTGAATCCATTTTTCCTTCTACTCGTGAGATGTTCCCTGTGCCACTGGCTGCAACACAAACCCCAAAGCATGATTGATCCAACCCCATGCTTAACAGTTGGACAGAGGTTCTTTTCATTAAATTCTGTGCCCCTTCTTCTCCCAAACATACCTTTGCTCATTCCGGCCAAAAAGTTCAATTTTAACCTCATCGGTCCACAGAACTTGTTTCCAAAATGCATCAGGCTTGTCTATATGTTCATTTGCAAAGTTCAAACGATGATTTTTGTGGTGAGGACGTAGAAGAGGTTTTCTTCTGATGACTCTTCCATGAAGACCATATTTGTACAAGTATCTCTTTAGTGTGTACCACAACTCCAGTGTCTGCCAGATCTTTCTGGAGGAATTGTGCAGTCAAACGTGGGTTTTTTGAATTGTTTTTCTCTCACAATCCTGCGAGCTGTTCTGTCTGATATTTTTCTTGGTCTTCCAGATCTTGCTTTAACTTCCACTGTTCCTGATGACTGCCATTTCTTAATAAATTCCGAACAGAGGATATTGACATCTGAAAATGCTTTGCTATCTTCTTATAGCCTTCTCCAGCTTTGTGAGCGTCAACTATTTTCAGTTTCAGTTTTCTAGACAACTGCTTAGAAGAACCCATGGTGCTGATTGTTGGGGCAAGGTCAGATGAGTCTCGGCATTAAAAACCTTTGAGATTGACATCACCTGGTCTTCCCAGACGATGATTGAGAACAATCCATGACACTGGCAGGTCTCAGCTTGGCAAAGGAGGCAGTGCATGCTATAAATTCTGCAGGGTGCCCAAACTTTTGCAGATGCCATTTGTTTGTTTTCTGTTATTTTGAAAGTGTAAATGATGGAAATAAAATCTAACTTTTGTTGACATATTATAAGAATGTCTAATCTGTAATTTGATGCATTTTGGAGATCTTTCCATCTTTCCTTGGCTTCTTTATGCACATTAATACAAATGTTTAGCTGGGGTGCCCAAACTTTCGATCCCCACTGTATATATATATATATATATATATATATATAATATATATATATATATATATATAATACTGTATATAGTATTGGGACGCCTGCCTTTACATGCATATGAACTTTAATGCCATCCCACTGTTAGTCCGTAGGGTTCAATATTGGGTTGGCCCACCCTTTGCAGCTATAACAGCTTCAACTCTTCTGGGAGGGCTGTCCACAAAGAGTGTGTCTATGGGAATGTTTGACCATTCTTCCAAAATTTTCATTTGTGAGGTCAGGTACTGATGTTGGATGAGAAGGCCTGGCTCTCTGCTCTAATTCATCCCAAAGGTGTTCTGTCAGGCTGAGGCCAGGACTGTGCAGGCATGCAAGTTCCTCCACCCCAAACTCGCTCATCCATGTCTTTATGGACCTTGCTTTGTGCACTGGTGTGCAGTCATGTTGGAACAGAAAGGGTCCATCCCCAAACTCTTCCCACAAAATTGGGAGCATGAAATTGTCCAAAATGTCTTGGAATGCTGATGCCTTAAGAGTTTCCTTCACTGGAACTAAGGGGCCAAGCCCAACCCCTTAAAAACAACCCCACACCATAATCCCCCCTCCAACAAACTTTACTCTTGGCACAATGCTGTCAGGCAAGTACTGTTTTCCTGGCAACTGCCATACCCAAAACACGTCCATCAGATTGCCAGAGAAAGCATGATTTGTCACTCCAGAGAACATGTCTCTGCCATCCAGTGGTGACGTGCTTTATACCATTGCATCTAACGCTTTGCATTGCACTTGGTGAAGTAAGGCTTGAATGCAGCTGCTTGGCCATGGAAATCCATTCCATAAAGCTCTCTAGGCACTGTTGTTGTGCTAATTTGAAGTTTGCAGGTCTTTAGCTATTGACACTGCAGACAGTTGGTGACTTCTGCACACTTCAGCATGCGTTGACCCCGCTCTGTCATTTTACGTGGCCTTCCACTTCGTGGCTGAGTTGCTGTTGTTCCCAGTTGCTTTCCACTTTATACTACCATTAACAGTTGACCATGGAATATTTAGTAGCCAGGAAATGTCACGGATGGACTCATTGCGCAGGTGGCAACCTATCACGGTACCACGCTTGGATTCACTGAGCTCCTGAGAGCGACCCATTCTATCACAAATGTTTGTAGATGCAGTCTGCATGCCTAGGTGCTTGATTTTATACACCTGTGGCCATGGAGGTGATTGGAACACCTGAATCCAATGATATATATATATATTTTTATTATCATTATTATATATTTTTATGGTTAATATTATATTATATATTTATACATCTAATTGTTCTGTGGCAATATCTCAGAGCTGTTTTTCAATCTTTTGTTCCACTGACCTTTGAAGTTGCAACATAGACATTTGTGTCTGTATGAACCTCTGAGAACCTGTCATTTCACAAATCAACTACACAGAGAAGCCCAATAGATTCCTTTGCAAGCCTCTTCTTCCCAGGACAGGGCTGTGAAGTCCAGGCCAGCATTTCATACATGAGAGTGATGTCTAAAAACATAGGCCAGATGCTGCTTTTGGGGTGGTAAAGTCACTTCTAGTGGATCTGAATGCATCCAACTTCACAGCTGTAGAATCCAACTCATCAGAAAGTTGGCTTCAATTTCTCAGGGTTAGCCAGGACCTTGCGGCTTCTGGGGAGTGTGACGACAAATCCCTCTGCCCCTGAGTACACAGCACACAAGTTAACGGAGAACTGACAGGTTCTTTTTAAACCAAAGAACATTTCTTGCCTTCAGGAATCATAGCGGGAAATTTTTAGAGTTTCAGCAATGTGTTAATTTGACAAATAGCTAGGATGTGTTGTCCTGTATAAATCTGGCTTCCATTCCACCTCTGTTCAAGGCAGTACTTATCATTTCTGGTGTGTGCGTTGTGGTTAGCCCAGTTCAATTTGTGGTTGCAGGATATAGTCACGGCAGCATAGCTGGTGGTTTGATTGCATCCTTTTCTGTGGTTTCCCAAGTATCTGTTGGCGAGTTTAAATCTCTTTTTTCTTTGTACATTGATCCCACATAGAATTGTGTTTTACAGGACTGATGGATGATGACAAAGAAAAGGATAATTAAGTCATGAATGGTGCCTGATTGTAATAAGCTACCTGTTGCTACTTAGAATAAATATTCGAATGTAATTCTAAACTGTAATGAACATAGGGGTGTATTTATAAATGTTTTCATGAAGATTCTCACAGCTTTTATACAGGACTTCAGAATCCAGTTAGAAAACGTGAAATTTGGTTGAAAGCTGTGTGCATTTTGTGCGAAAACAATTACAAATAGACCCTTTAAAATGTTTGCAAAGTGTAAAGGTGAAGTAGTTGAAAAGGCTCCAGATTTTTTATAATCGTGCATTCTATGCATGAAGGCAAAAAACCTTCTGTGTGCAGCGCCCCCCTTATACTTACCTCAGCCCCATTGAGATCCAGGGTTGTGCACAAGAGCCTCTCCAGGACTTTCTCCTCCCCATTGGCTGAGACAGCAGTGGGAGCCATCACTGTCACAGCCAGTGAGGAGAAGAAGGGGCAGGGTTCGAGCCACAGCTCTGTTTGTGAATGGACATGCAGAGCATCGGCTCGGGAGCAAGCATACTTGGGTGCCCCCATAACAAGCTGCTTGCTCTGGAGGCACTCAGCAGAAGGGAGGGGCCAGGAGCACCAGCTGTCCTGAGAAGAAGAGCATCAGGGCTGCACAGATCAGGTAAATATAACATTAGTTTTTTTTTATTTAAGCCTGCCTTTAATAATACTTTAGACTTTTTATTTTTAATGTATTTATTTTTTAATTTAGAATAGAATATGGACTGATTAGAACCTCTGTCTAGTTTTATTGTTTCCCATGTCCCCGCTGGAGATTTTCCCCAGCTCCTGATGCTTATGTATCGCTGACCTCCAAAGGGACCCACTGATTTTTTCCAGGTTCTCTTCCTTAGTTAGTGTACATACAGCCAGGCAGGCCACGTTAGTCTCTCCTTTGGATGAATAATCATTATAGGGGTATCTTTTGATGCTTTTTTGAAAGTTGAACTTGGTTAGGGTGCAGGGAGTTGTGGGATATGCCAGTAAAACAGTGAAACAATCAGAGAACACTCTTACACTTTTCACTTTGTCTAAACTTCTTAGTATAGTCCCTTTAGCAGCCACTAAAATAAATGAGTAGCACTGAGACCCCAAAAAGGAATGTCCCAAGTTAAGCAAGCACTGTCACTGTGCTCAGGGATAGTAGCATCAGTCACTAGGCTCCTATACTCAGCCTGTACTCAGAATGTCCTTGGATACTTTGGATGCCTCCTTCCAATATCAGACAGACATTTTTCTCCAAAAACAGATCCTTAGTAAAATCCCTTATTCAGCTCTAGCTTAGCTGGGCCCTCGATGAGCTCCTGTGAACTTTAGCTGTACTGCCCAGAAAGGTAATGACCCTTCAGGCTGGAAACTTCTCCTGCAGAAGAATCTCTCTGTTCCAGGCCCCAGACTATTTATGTACTCCTCAGCCACCTACTGAGCATCCTCCCATCAGGATTGCCTGGGACTACATAAATATTCAGGCTGAGGATCTGCTTCTTCCAGCCCACTACATTCTAGAATCCACCAGAAGGCAGGAGGAAGCAGTTGAGCCTGCAGCCAGTGAAACCCATAATAGCCCAAAATAATCACACACTGCTCCACTAACTACAGAGGAGCCAATATAACTAAATTTACCTAATCAACCTAGCAACCTATCCAGGGGCGGACTGACAACTCATGGGGCCCCCGGGCAATAGGGGATCATGGGGCCCCTGTGTCCTTGCCCAAACTCAAAAAAAGCCGATGAAAAAGGTACCAGGGGAATCTCATGGGGCCCCCTACTGACCCCAGGCCCTCAGGCAGTGCCCGAGTTTCCAAATGGTCAGTCCGCCCCTGAACCTATCAAGGAGGGTGCTACATCTACATGTGGGGCTCTTTTGTTGATAGAGGAGCACAGTTTCTTGACTTTCCATGTCTAATGGCTTCTAGACTAAGTAGAGGAAAACTATGAGAAGAATGCATTTTTGAAATATCAGAATAGAAAGCTGTTGGAAAGGTTATAGTTTACTTTCAAGTGAATTATATAAAATTTAATAATTTACTATTTTTCCCAGAGTACTAGGCCTTGCATTGAGTGGACATTTAGAAGTTGTGGATTACTCCTAAGTGGGGTTTGTGATGAATATTGTACTGAATTTAGAGGGATGATTTTTTTTAGAACAATGTGTTATAAAGCTACAACTTAGGTTAAAGCGGAGGTCCAGTTGGAATTAAAAAATAATAAACAAAAACTGTAGCTGCTGACTTTTAAAAAAACAGGCACTCACCTGTCCCTCAATCCTGTGGTGTCCTCACACCTACCGGGTTGACCAATGATCCTGTCTCCTCGACTCTGGCATCTTCAGTGTAGGCACCCGGCTGTGACAGCTTGCGGCTTCATAGCTGGATGCCCACTGCGAATGCGATGCACGAGTAGCTCTGCACTTTGTGAATGATTCCATAGTCTTCTGGGACCTGTCACATGTCCCAGAAGACAATGGGGAGGGAGATGGGGAGGAGAGGGGGGGGGACAACTTCTGCTTCTTATCGCCTAGGCGATAGCAGCAGAAGTGGGAGCTGGTACCTGTCAAATTCGGATACCCCCTCCCCTCCACTCCTCAAAGCTGCCAATCCTTAATGGGGAGTGGGGGACAAAGCCTTAAAGTGGAACTTCCCCTTTTGGGTTGAGCTCAGAGTTAAGCATAATATTTTAATACTGTATTTCTTGTATAGTCAATATCTTTGTCAAGAGTTGTTAAAAAGGACTTGAACTGTGTTTGTGTTGGGAATGCAACAGCATGTACTATATAGTATTGTGTGTTAATATCACTTGACCAGTAGATGGCACTGTACACTAAGGTTACTAGTTGTGCATATGTGTAAAACTTGTTGGTTCTCTCTCCTCTCTCTTCCTCTCTTCAAAAACCAAGATGTCTGCTGAAATGTGTTCTGTATGTTTGCAACTTAAGCCACACAAGTAAAACAGTGTTCTGCCTCATCACAAGCTACCAGTGTCTTCTCTAACACATAACCAACAGTTTGCACAGGCACCAGTACTGCCTGTGGTCTCCCTGCAGCTAATGTTTTCCCCATTACTGGCTGTCCATACATTGCTATGCACTTTGCCTCTGAGTGGCGGCAGCCATTGTGGTAGATGTAGGGTTTTTCTTCTTCATGTCAGCTCTGCCCCCTTGATGACTGGTTATTTGATGACTGGCAGGGTAGTGACCAAGAAGCAACTGGAATGGTAGAGAAATCACAGATCCACATAATTAATGAAGCAGGCCAGATAGATCCTTACACTCCAGGTCCTAAGGTACAATTTCCTCTCCAGTAAGGAGAACAGTGAACAGCACAGCAGTGACAGCAACAAATTTCACACCAAATCTGGTAAGATTAGCAATCAAAGGTGCAGTGCCTTAGATGATATTGCACTGCAAATATACAGCTGTAAACTCAAGGCTCAGTATGTGCCTAGACAAAAGAACTGCAGTGTTTTTTTTTTAGAAAGAGTTAAAAATAAAATGTGATGTTTTCATTATGCTTTTTTAGGCAAAATTAACATTTAGATGCTCCATGTGAAAATTGTAATTTTTTTTTTAGTTCAAGTCCACTTTAAAGTGGAACTTTACCTAAAAAGGAAGTTTGCCCTTTTTTTCTTCCTCCCCCCCACCTCCACCACTATTGGAGGTTTTTTTTTAGCTCTTGGAGCAGGTACCTATTTCTGACAGGTACCTACTCCACTTCTGCTTGGATGACAAAAGTTCACCCCCCCCCCTTTTTGCAGGCAGCCTTCTGGGACACATAACAGGTCCCAGGATGCTGCAGTTTCTATTGGGAAAGCATGGTGCTACTTGCGAATGCACAGTGGGAAGCCAGCTGTGAATCACCAGGAAGTCAAAGCTTCCCACATCCAAGATGGTTGGGACCCAAAGACTGTTGAAGAAATGTCCTGGGGAAGATAGCGATGTATCCCTAGGCTGGTAAGTGCATGTTAATTCAAAGTCAGAAGATACAGACTTTTAGTTTCATTTTTTTTTTGCCAGAGCGAAGTTCCTCTTTAAAGAGGAACTGCACTGCATCTAAGCAGCAAAAAACAAAAACACTA